GTTAAAGCTTCCACTGGTGGCCAGTGTTCCCTCTAAGCTGAGTTAGTGTGAGCCAGCTCACAGTTCTTCAGCCTCCAGCTCACAGATTTTTGTCTCTGTTCAGGAAGGAGGGCTCCAGAGCAAACTAATTTATGAAGTAGCCAAATCGTTCACTCACAACTTTCATGCTGGTAGCTCACAAAGGAGAATTTTTGCTCACAAGACTCCGCACCTTAGAGGGAGCATTGGAGGGAACTCTGCCTATAAGCCTATTTCTCGCCCCATGATAACTATATACTCTCTTTCTTTTTCCCCTCAGAGCTATTATCTAGGCCCCGCCCCTTTCCCTCCTCGCGCCGGTTGGCCGGCCCCCAGTTTCCCGCCTCTTTCAGCCGTGTTTGTAGCATCTTCTTCTCCCTCAGCTGTGAGGTGGCAAAAATCGCCTCAAGAAAAGGGCGGGGGGGAAAGGCCAGTGAGGCGGGGTATCTTCTTCTCCCTCAGCTGTGAGGTGGCAAAAATCGCCTCAAGAAAAGGGCGGGGGGGAGGGAAAGAGAAACGTTTGCCTTTCCAGGCAAGCGGCAATTGAAGGGTTAGACACGACACATTACGTGTGAATGAAATTATAAACCTCGAATGTGTAATTTTTAGCAAGTTAGACCCCATGTGAAAATGAGTGCTGTAACTTGAGGGGGACACACAGAGGAACAGAATGGTATTGAACAGGCTGTTATCATGGGTGGAGGGCAGTGTTCCCTCTAAGCTGTGTTAGTGTGAGCTAGCTCACAGGGGTTTTTTTTTAGCCTCCAGCTCACACATTTTTGCCTTGGCTCAGGAAGGAGGGCTCCAGAGCAGACGAATTGATGCAGCAGCCAAATCACTCGCTCACAACTTTAATGCCAGGAGCTCACAAAGTACAATCTTTGCTCACAAGACTACAGTTTAGACAGAGCATTGGTGGTGGTGGGGCTCCTTCTGGCAAATCCCTTTTGGCGCTGATTTTCAAAATGTGGATTTCTCTACTATCAGGACATTGCATATGACTCCCCCAGAAGACCTTAAATTCATAACCAGGGACTGTCCCTAATGTCTAGTACTTGCCCTTCATGCATCATTGACCCTATTTTGCTTCACGGCTAAAAGTTGAATCTAGCATGATTTTTTATACTTAATCCCGCAAGTAATCCTCAAGTATCTCAAATCCTTTGTCCACGGACTGCACCGTAAAAATTACAGGCTCAGGACACCCTGGTACCACTGTGGCACCAAATCATGGATCCACGAAATAGACCCTTATGGCTTTACATGGAGACCCCTTGAATCCACCATCAACACAGCGCTTGCGTCAATGTCCGTAGACTGTCCTGTAATAGTTACAGCTTCAGAATTGTATTGTGCCACTGGGGCACAAAAACATCGATCTGAGGTTCAGATCCTGTCCTGTCCCATTCCCTCCCGCAACAGTATCATTAACTCATATAACCTCATATTCACATCCCACCAGCAATGCTGGAATAATCATAGATCAGGTGCCCACGCATTGCTCGGAAGCTACAGAAAAGGGCTATAAGGTGCTAGATGTGTCATTCACATAGTGCAATTTGTGGGCATAGATGTGAGGTATTCCCAGGGCGGATTAAGGCTCACTGGTGCCCTAAACACTGACCAATCTTGGTGCCCCCCCTCCTTTCCACACTGACCCAGTCCATTTTAGTCGTTGACCTGTCTGACCAGATATACAATGCAGGTTGCAGCAAAACAAAAATTTATTCATATGATAACACAATATACTGTACAAACTAAGCCAAGCTTGGGCTACATAAAGTTCTTTTCACCCTTTTCCCAACTTTGTGGTGCCCCCTTTGGCCCTGGCGACCTAAGCACGTGCTTAGTCTGCTTAATGGTTAATCCGCCCCTGGGTATTCCCACAGAAAATTCTGTGGATGGAAAGGATTTCCATCCATGGAGTGGGACTTCCCTGACTCCCCTCTCCCTCTGCAACCCAAAACACTTCCCAGAATTCTGTTCCTGGGAGCAATGGTACCCCGAGAACGGCTGGGAAGAGTCAGAGGTCTTCAGTAGGAGGCTACAACAAGAAGAAAAAAATAGTCATCCCCCCTTTCCATCCACAGAAATTATCATTGGAATCCAACCCATTTTTTTAAATTTATTTGGGTTGTCTGTAAAAATAAGAATCTGTTAATATTTGCACTACATGGATATTAGATCTAAGATACAGTCTATAGAAGCTGGATTTGGGATGCCTCCATAAACAAAAATAAGGATCCATGCCTATGATTTTGCTCTACTGCAGTGCCACAAGGTGATGAATCTATTATTTTTGCAATATAATTTGTGAGAACAGATATCAGTTGTGGTTATAAGTTGTGCAGGCAAGGCGCGATATAAATCAAAATTAATAAATTAATAGAGGTCATGGGGGAGGGATCCAAGAGGATACATGTTACAAATCTAGGTCTTCATATCATGGCAACATTATGATACATTGCACCTATGATATTCATGGTCCATTTTTTTCATACACTTGTGAATATTGCTGAATTGATGGCCTGTAAGGATCGTGAAGATCTGTGAGCATCACTGCCTCATTTCTATGCATTTATGCTATAATGGCTCCACAAACAGTTGCATTCATGAGTTTCATTTTGCAGTTTCTCTGGCTAAAAATGAACTGTAATTTTATGTCTTGCTTGCAAGAATTGTGAAGATCCAAACAGATCCATGTCTTGACTTTTATTCTTAATAGCGTTTTCAGGTTGACTCTTCCTACTTTGTGGAGTGATCTGCGAATCCCTAGTTGTGTACGGTTACAGTGGCTGCCCTGTTTTCCACAAAGTTCTACAGTTTGCTAGACCATGTTTGATAAGCTCCTACCCTCCTGATATTTAGAAAACTCTTCAAAGCCCAACTTCCTAAAATAGCTTGTGAGGGCATGTGTTTAATGTAGTTAACTGGCAACTTGAGTAGGGCATGTTGTTTATTGTACTTTGTGCAGGATTCTTGCACAGCCTTTGCACTGGTCAGAGTTTATCTGATGTTGTTCATTGTTATTTTACATATTTATGCAATGTAGTTTGAATCTATTCATAAGTCTTTTAAAATCCCTATTGGGAAAATCTAGATTTTTGTGCTGCCATTACAAAACTCAGGATTCATAATAATTATGGCGCAGTCCATGGACATGCATGCAAACTGAATTTGATAGGGCTTGATATAAAAAAATGTGACGATCCATGCCTCAAAAGCAAGCTTTTTATGTCACAGCTATTGTACCAGGATGCCCTGGATGCATGATAAAGGAAACAGCAGAAAAATACATCCTGTGATGTTTAGAATATTTTAATTCTTTCCTGCTACAGTTTTGCCCTCTAAAACTTTGATTATTTCAATGGCAGAGATTTAAGCATGTGTTTAACCAACCAACTGAAAGAAATTCAATAGTTTATTACTTAAGTGGAAGTGCTTTAGCTTGTCTGGGTCATGGTGTTCATTGATGTATTAATTGCGATAAACTTCCCAAAGTTCATGTGATTAAACATACAATTATTGTTGAACAATTTTGGTAGGTAATGATATCAGTCATGCGGATGCTTTCCATGCTTCCACTATACCCATAAATTTTCACGACAAATAAATACTCCAATTGTAAATTTCCCCAAGTCATAGTATGCAAATCTACTTGTCTGTCCATTCTTCCCCAAATTCCTTTGTTCTTCTATAATTCTTTCCTCGTATGTGGTGATTTCACTATTCTTCTGCTATCCATTTCTACATCTCTCCCATCGCCAACATTTGTAACATATCTTCCTGGACTGTCTCTTTCCCAACAGGAGTTCTGTGGGAAGTCTCCCTCACTGCTTCTTCTTGCAACATGGACTGGTTTCATTGCAACCGGTGTTTTATCCAGGAAGGAACTGATTTTTGTCTTACCAGCTGTGGACACATATTTTGCAAAAGATGTGCTGGTACAGGTAAGAGTGTCAACAAGATGTTCGTTCCATGTCTTAGAAATAAAACTAAAATAATCCCCAGTTTATCTCTCTCACACAGAGGTCATTTCGGGGGGGATCGCGGGGGATCGCAGTTCCCCCAGGTGAGGTACGGGGGGCGGGGCACATGACAAAGCCCCGCCCCTTGCTTCCGGCCACCCCGCTTCTGGCCCTCATTCAGCCAGGAGGAGGCAGGAGAAGAGGGAGGCCTTGCAGGTCCACCGCCGGGCCCCTCATGGGGCTCGGCAGTGGAGCTGCAAGGCCGCCGGCAGCGGCCAGGACCGTTGGGGGCGGGGTGTGTGGCCTTATGACACACTTCCGGTGATGTCAGGGCGTGTGGCATATGCTAATGAGTAATGCTAATGAGTTCCCCTAGCTCTTTTTCTACGAAACGACCCCTGCTCTCACACAAATACACCTGAAAACAAGCATAAACAATAAATGTTCATATTTATTACCTGGATTCTGCACATGAAATGTGTTGCTAATTGTTTTCAATATTCATTTTATACATCATGCAACCACATGAAGAATCTTAACCCTTGAGGGTTCAAATGCAAGAAAAACAATGTTTTTTAACATAGTGGTTTTAGATATTATAAGAATACTGATCCATTTTGTCTTTTCTGAACATTCTGAATTGTTTTGGGCAATTGGGTTACACTGACATCTTTCTGTGTTAATCCTGGCAGATAAATGCCCATCTTGTGGGACAAGCTGCAAATATTTGCTTCTCAACGATAAAGTAAGTTGTGGTTTCTCGGGCCGGTGTGCCACCTTCTTTTCTCTCAGGGCTCTTAAAAACGTACAAATTCTAGTATGATATCAATCTGGGCTAATGAATGATTTATATATATAAAGCAGGGGAGCCAAACAATTAACAGAATTGTGAAAAGTGTTGCCGCTACACCATTTGTATCACCCCTTGTCCTTTCTGGTTGGTTAAATCTGCTGGAAGAGGGGATAACTAACTAGGAGCAAATAATCACTACTTCATTCGAGCCGGGTTCTAGCCCTAAATTTTAAAGGAGGCATTACTAAAAACCTTTGTTAAATAATCCCTTCTTTGATCTATTAGATTTTAGACATTTGGGGGGGGGCAAATCAAACCTTTAATTTTGGGGCAAAGTGCTCAAACAGGTGGTTGCAACCCAACTAGAGGACAGAAATGATCCACATCCTTTCAGTATGGCCTGGTAATGAAACTGTTTTGGTTGTCCTGTTCCTTGACCTTTGCAGGGCTCCTGACAGGGGGAATGAAAACACTGCTTCTTTTGGACCTCTCAACAGACTTCAGTAACATGGACCATGGCATCCTTCTCTGCCATCTGTCCAGGATGCGGGGGGGACACTATTTTACAGTGACTCTACACCTTCCTAGCAGATTAGATTGGTGTCAGATGATGGGGCTGGGTGACTGCTGCTCTGCTTCTTGGCTATTAGCCTATGAGTTCCATTTTGCCTCCCATGCTATTTAACATCTGCTGGATGCTGCTGAAAGAGATCACCTAGAGATTTGGAGCGCAGTGCCGTCAGTCTGCAGATGACACACTATCTCTGCTTTCCATCTAATTCTAGGGAGGCAATGGAAACTCATAATCAGTATTTGGAGGACATAAAAGGCGGCATGTGGGTTAATAAATTGAAATTTAATCCAATCCAAACACAAATGCACAAACCCATGAAGTTGTCTTATACTGAATCAGGTCACTGGTCCATCGAGGTAAATATTGCTTACTCAGACTGGCAGCAGCTCTCCAAGATATCGGGCAGACTCAGACTGGCAGCAGCTCTCCAAGATATCAGGCAGAGTCTTCCATACCACCTACTGCCTGGTCCTTTTTTAAACTGAAGATGCTGGGGATTGAACTAGGGACCAAACAGAAATGCTGTTGGTTGACGATTAAGATGCTGTAGTATTAGATTAACAACTCGTTCTGAATGCAGTTGCAACCCACTGAAAGTGTCAGGTTTGCAGTTTAGAAGTACTCCTGGACCTGCTTCTTAAACGACAGGTTTCTGAGGTGCCAGGAGTGTATTGTACTCTAGTCATACTGCAGTGTCCTGGTAACATCTGGCTAAGTTACTGAAACATGGTGCTGCCTTTGAAAATAGTTCAGAAACTTAGTCTTGACTTTGTTACTGCTTTGCTTTGTCACCTGCACATTGCTTGTTTGTTTCCAGGCCTAATCCAGGGTGATGGTGTTGGTTTTTAAGGGCCTAAAAAGCTTGGGGCCTAGGGTTGATAGCCTCCAGGTGGCATCTGCAGATCTCCCACTATTACAGTTGATTTCCAGATGACCAAGATCAGCTCCCCTGGAGAAAAGGGCTGCTTTGAAGGGCGGACTCTACAGTGTGATACCCTGCTGAGGTCCCCGCCCCCAACGGTCCCGGCCGCCGCCGGCCTTGCAGCTCCACTGCTGAGCCCCATGAGGGGCCCGGCAGTGGACCTGCAAGGCCGGCAGGAGTGCAAGGAAGCCCCGCGAAGGCCCTCCCTGGCCCCAGGCAGGCAGGGGTGGGGAGAGGCAGGGAGGAAGCAACTTACCCTCCCTCTTCTCCTGCCTCCTCCTGGCTGAATGAGGGCCGGAAGCGGGGCGGCCGGAAGCAGGGGGCGGGGCTTCGTCATGTGCCCCGCCCCCGTACCTCACCCGGGGGAACTGCGATCCCCCCCGAAATGACCTCTGCTTCCACCTCTATCTGGCTGACTACGACTTAGCCTGTTCTGTGTGCTGTCAGTGAGGAAAGCTAGCCAGGAAGGCACATGAAGCAGGGCATTTTTGATGGTAGCCCCCACTTTATGAAACTCCCTATCTCAGGAAGTACCCACCATGCACCCTCATTTTTGTTCTTTTGAAAAGGAAACACAAGAATTCCTTACAAACACACCTTGTCTAGTTTTAGAAGAAATACTGTAATTTAAATATTAATATAGGGGGCCTTCTTCAGGGAAAGCATTAATAATTTGAAGAGCGCTTTTAATTTGCAAACTACTTTTTAGTCATTGATTCCAACAATGTTTGATAATTATTTATTTCCACATTGTATGCATAGAACCTGGAGCTGAGACACAGGGGTTTGCCAAGAACCACTCAATCTATGCTGAAGAGGAATTTTGACTCAGACCTTTCAAATGTGTGGTGTAATGGTTAGAATGTCAGACTATGATCTGGAAGAACAAGGTCCAGATCTCCATTCTGCCATGGAAGTTTCCTGGGTGACCTTGGGCCAGTCACACACACTCAGCCTGACCTATCTCCCAGGATTGTTGTAAGGATAAAAAAGGAGTAGTAGAGAATGATGTAAGCTGCTTTGGGTCCCCATGGGCAAGAAAGTTGGGGTATAATATTAGACTATTAGATGCTGGTCTTTTATCTTTCTTATATTTCTCTGTCTTCCTGACCCACAGATGAAACCAGAAGAAAAAAAGTTTTTCAAAAGCCCTGTTGAAATTGCACTCAAATATATTGCCCATATTTCTCAGGTAAGAATTACAGGCCAGGTATTCTTTTGGCAATACTTCATAAACTCTGAATTTGACCCAATTGTGACAGTGACTGGCAAAACAAGGGCAACACAAGGAAGGAAAAGTCGACAGCTTAGAGTTAAATTTGTAGAACTTTGCAGTGAGAGAACGGCACCTTAAGGGCTGTTTAGAGGGTATTCAGAACTCCCAAAGAGATCTCCTGAATTCCAGAACTCCTGAAACAGATCCTCCACTGCATCAAGCTATTCAGTTGACAGCCCAAGGAGCCAGGCATTTCACTGCTGGGGGTGAGTAAGGCCAGTTAAAGGACTAGTTAATAACCAATCTGCAAAAAAGTTAATAATCATAATAATTCCCATTTGCCAATTGAGCAAATTAATTTCAATAACAAATCCCTGATAAGAGGGACAAATATGGGGGCAAGCTGGTTAATCATCAAAGAGAATTTCAGCAGAATCAGCAAGTGCCTGAACATTAAAATCCACCAAGGTTCTCAATTCTCACAGGCTTTGGCAATCACTTGCCTAGATAATTCCTCTGACCTATAACTCCTGGAACTGCACTGGTTTTGGGGGGATGGGGTGAGGGGGTGACAGTTTATTAATGTATTCCTATATTTATGTAGAGCATTTGGAATTCACTGCTACAAGCATGGACGGCGTCAAAAGGGAATTAGATAAGCATATGGAGCAGAGGTCCATTAGTGGCTATTAGCCATAAGGTATAGATAGGGACTCTGGGGCAAGTGATGCTCTGTCATCTTGGTGCTTGGGGGGGGGGGGTCAACAGTGGGAGGGCTTCTAATGTCCTGGCCCCACTGGGGGACCTCCTGATGGCACTGGTATTTTTGGCCCCTGTGTGACACAGAGTGTTGGACTGGATGGGCCTTTGGCCTGATCCAACATTGGCATCTCTTATGTTCTTATAACAATTTTCTAGAGGAACAAAGTGGGGAGAGAACTAAAGCCAGAATAAAATACCAGTAAAATTATCCAAAGGGTGCAATGAGTGTGTGCTTGGGGAGTGGGTGGGATTGACAGACACAGCCATCAATAAAAGCCAATAGGCACATTAATCATAAAATTCTTGTTTAAATTAAGATGTATTTAAAGGGCTTATGTACCAAATCTCCCTGACTGGTACGGTCCAGGCTAGCCCAGTGTTTTCAGATCTTGGCTGCTAAGCAAGGTTGGTCCTAGTTAGTACTTGGATGGGAGACCTCCAAGTAAGTCCAGGGTTGCAGAGGCAGGTGATGGCAAACCCCAACTCTTGCCTTGAAAACCCTACGGGGTTGCCATAATTTGGCTGCAACTTAACACCACTTTCCACCACCATGTACCAAATCTGGCATGCCTTACTAGCAAATTGGTTCCATAACTGAAAGGCCAGCAACATCAAACAAATGGCCACCAACCTGACAGAAGACAGAATTATCAGAAGATTCTCTGTTAAGGTGGAAAACTGTATGTTTCATTCTGCATGACCATGACTACTCTATCCCACTGTTTCTCTAATCTCTTTATTTCTACATTTGATTAGATCTTTCTCCCATCCCACGTGGGGAGTTGGCTATCCGGATGACCTCATCCAGTAGCTCCATATCTCCTGCTCCTGTCTCTTTCTGACTTCTAATTGCCATCTCCCCTGTCATTATCTCCTCTCCATCACATGATCAACTATCACTATCCAATGACTTCATCACCTGGGTGGAGGTGATCTCCAAATTGTTCTACCCCCTTGCAGGCCCTCAGCTTGTGACATCTTAATCACTGAGTGGACGTGCCACCTAGAGTGGAAAGGGACCCATGTGCTGGTCACCCCCCTAAGCAAGCCACCAAATTTGACTGTATAAGACAGGGGTGGCCAAACTGTGGCTTGGGAGCCGCATGTGGCTCTTTCACACATATCGTGCGGCTCCCAACAGGGTGGTTGGGGAGGCTAAATATCATTAGCGAACAAATATCATTGGACAAATAAATATCATTATCAACATCTGCTTTTACTGCTTTTGTTATTATTTTTGGCATTCTTGTTTAATGTTAATAAAAATCAAATGTGCATATTTCCCAGTAAAAACGTGTAATATTTGTTCATGTCTTACGGCTCTCAAACATCTGATGTTTATTCTATGTGGCTCTTATGTTAAGCAAGTTTGGCCACCCTTGGTATAAGACTAGATGCTTCTACATTCTGCAGATGAATGTATACTTTTGGTTGTCTTCCTAGGTGTGGACATTCCAGAAAGGCCAAATGGACCTACTGGTCTCTTTCTACAAAAATAATGCTTCTAAAACAGAGGGAGCCCTGCAGCAAGCTCATGAGAAACTAACTGCTCAGGAAAAGTGAGGCATGCAGGTTGTATTCACATGAAAGGCAAACAGAGTTAGGCAAGAAAACACACCTTACTTTTTAACCGTTCACACACATTTTATGTACACGAGTCCACCCAGAATTGTGTCAGTAAAGACACATGAGGCATCACTGGGTTCTCTTTATAAATGTAAAGTTTATTTCAATATTTGTCTTTGTTTTACAAACATGAGTAAGGAAAACCCTCCATTCCCCAGCCACCTCAATCATAGGTGAAGTAGCATAATGAGGATAAAAGAACAAATAACAGGCAGTGAAAGTGAATTTATTTTCTACTGGTGCTCTCTGTTGTAGACTGAGGCACACGGGTCAGGGATGGAGCAGACCCTGCTTTAGAATATTATTATGAATGAGCAGTTTGGGCATGGCAGCAATGACTCTTCAAAAATATGAACGCCGTACTCTTGCTCCATCCTAATATTTTTTTCTGTGAAAACAGAGGTTAGAGCATGTTCATCACTAATTAAATAGATGGTTTGTGAGGCCAAGAAGTTAATCTTACTGTTGGCTGTCCATCATAGCAGAGGTCATTTCGGGGGGGGGACGCGGGGGATTGTAGTTCCCCTGGGTGAGGTACGGGGGGCGGAGCACATGACGAAGCCCCGCCCCCCGCTTCCGGCCGCCCCGCTTCCGGCCCTCATTCAGCCAGGAGGAGGCAGGAGAAGAGGGAGGGTAAGTTGCTTCCTCCCTGCCTCTCCCCACCCCTGCCTGCCTGGGGCCAGGGAGGGCCTTCGCGGGGTTTCCTTGCACTCCTGCCAGCCTTGCAGGTCCACCGCCGGGCCCCTCATGGGTCTCAGCAGTGGAGCTGCAAGGCCGGCGGCGGCCGGGACCGTTGGGGGCGGGGTGTGTGGCCTTATGACACACGTCCGGTGATGTCAGGGGGTGTGGCCTTATGACACACTTCCGGTGATGTCAGGGTGTGTGGCATATGCTAATGAGTTCTGCTAATGAGTTCCCCTAGCTCTTTTTCTACAAAACGACCCCTGCATCATAGTATTCCACAGTGGGGGACTAGCAGGTTAAGGCTGGCATTGAAGGAGTATTAGGGGCACTACCAACTGTTTTATCAGGCCACTTGTCTTGTGTCCCATCCCCCCCCCCTTTCACTGCTTAGGGAACTGGAGGCAATAAGGAAAGAGAACAAGGAGCTGAAGAGGATGTACCTAAACTTCATGAAGGTACAAGCTGCTTGCTGGAAACAAATCACTTCCCCTGGTTGGATGCCTCATGCCCTCTGCTGGAAGAAAAGAACCCTGCTTGGTGGTGCATTTGTCTCTGTGGAGGCGGGGGACGTAAACCATCCTTTCTGCATATGTGCATCTGGGTCCACTCCACAGCCCCTCTCTTTTCTCTCTGCAGGCTTCTCCAAGGCACCACCAGGGAAGCAGGTCAGTTCATGTATTGTGTCCCTTTCGGCCATTCATCAGGAACTGCAGCACATGGCATGCAGACAGTAGGGGTTGTTCATAACAGAATAGGGGGACTGGGTTTGAGGACATAGGGTCACTGACGTAGGAAAAGATTAAAGTGTTTTGTACTCTGTGAGTGAACACAATACATTTTAATTTGCTACAGAAACAGTACCCCAAGGCCAGTTGCCATCACCGCCCCATCACAGACAGGTAGGAAGATGGGCCCCTGTTACATAAGTCATGTAATTATTCCCTTCTGTATGCTGTGCGTGTGTCTTTAGGCAAATGAGCACGTGAGTGCACATGTTATGATCCTATTGCTGCAGGATCAAATGTATCCTTGCTTGAAAAAGAGAAAATAATTGTTTGCGCATCTGCATATGTGATACACACATATGAATGTATGCCCAATATTCCTTTATTTAAAAAAAACAGGGTAGACCTTTACTGCCTTTCCTCCCCTGTGGCTATGCAAGGAACCACTTTACAATAACCCAGTCCAGAGGGTCTCTTTAATACCATGAAATAAACTGGTACAACAATCCACTATCTCATACTTTGCAGTTACACCGCGGCTTGGCTTCCAGCACTCCAGTGAAGTGGTCAGGTAGGTACATGAGAAAATTAATATTCTTAAGGTACGGGTATGCTAACAAAAAAAATTCCAGATCTTGTTCAGAAATGCAGAGAATGTCAGATTTTATTATTCGTTTTAAGAAAAGTTTTAAGCCCTATAGTTTTACAGGGAGAAAAATGCAAATATATGGCTTTATCCTATTAAAAATTTAAGATGGGGGAGGGAATTCAAGTCAACACAGGAAGGAGCTGCTTTATGCAATAATTGCCGGTCATCATGGCTTCTTTTTGAGTACATCCAGCCACAGTATAGTCCCTGCTGTGATCACTGCTGTTTTCTTTGTCCAGTCTCTTAACAAATGAAAGCAACCACGACTCCCAAGTTTTGCAAACTATCCCCTGCCTACCTTAAACCATGTGGAATATATGCAAATGATCTTAATATGCTTATTTTTATTTGTCAGAAAATCAGGATTCATAACTAGTGCTATAAATTCCAGTCTTACAAATCTAGATTTCTTCATAGACCTCTTATTTATCTGTCCCTCTCTCCCACTAATTATGGCTTGAGTTTTTATGCCTCTCTGTACCCCACAGCCGCTCCTCTTCCACGGACTCTCTCCCCTTACGAGTGACCCACCCATCAGCTTTCCAAGTGAGTCCACACCTCACAACCCTTTTCCCTGGAAAAGAGATGGTGGGCAATGCTTCCTCTAAGGTGTGGAGTCCTGTGAGCAAAAATTCTACTTTGTGAGCTACAAGCATTAAAGTTGTGAGCAGGTGATTTGGCGGCTGCATAAATCAGTTTGCTCTGGAGCCCCCCTTCCTGAGCTAAGGCAAAAATGTGTGAGCCGGAGGCTAAAAAACTGAGCGAGCTCACACGAACTCGGCTTAGAGGGAACACTGATGGTGGGTATATTGTTTTGTTCTTTAAGAAACTCTCTCATTTTTACCCAGCATGCCACAGGAGCCATCCAGATTACCCCAAGCATGATGACCCCAGCTGACTCTGGTATTGGTAAGGAATTTTTGTTGTTGTTGTTCAGTAGCACAGAGTCTGACTCTTTGCGATCCCATGGACTGTACACAGAGGTAGAGGGTGAGCAGTAAATTAGCATACAGCATGGACTGGTAATTTCCATTTAATTGTATCAGAAGAAGTGTGTGCGCGTGCACAAAAGCTTCTACCTTAAATAAAACATTGGACTTAAAGGTGCCACTGCACTCAAACTCTGTTCTGCTGCTTCAGACCGACACACCTACCCACTTGAATCTAACTCCCAAGTATTTTAGCGTTTGCTGCAAGGTGTACAAGTCTCCACAAGATGGCAATACAGAGCCAGGGCTAAGTGAACGCTGGCACATTCTCGCCTGAGACAAGGCGTCAGCTTGGCGGCCAAGGAGCAAGAACCATGGCTTATAGCTGGAACTTGAATTATTCACAGATGAATGAAGTACCACCTAATGTAAATTGTGTGTTCCAAACACTGACCAGACCAAACTGATGTAAACTCATTGCTTGTTGCCTATCTTACCTTCCTCTACATCATCTTGCCCACTCTCAGGTATAATAGCCTAAAAAGTTCTGTTCTTTTCAGCAACTCCTTCTCCAGCTTCTACTCAAAGTTTATTCTACAGGTGAGTTTTAATGTGTGTGAGCTGTCAGTTTCAAGATGCTGCCTTCCCTAGGAAAGAGGAGATGATCTATTGCACTCATTTCCACTAATCACCATCCTCTTTCTCCCTTTCCCCCTTACCCTCAGGGCATCTTCTTCCTCTACTCACACCCCTAGCTTGAATGTCTTTAACCTACAGCCCTCCATGATGAGGCAAAGTCAGAATGCAAGCTACAGTGGACACCAACAGGAAACTCCAGCTGTTAGCCTTAACATATTCACTGGTAAGTGAAGGATAACCTTTTCTGTCAAGCATACCCTTCATTCAAAATCATATCCCTCTGCTATTTTTAAACTATTTTTTGCAGTCTGTGTGTGCGTGTGTGCGCTTTCTGTCAAGCATACCCTTCATTCAAAATTATATCCCTCTGCTATTTTAAAACTATTTTTTGCAGTCTCTGTGTGCGTTTCTGCTTGTGAGCCTGGAAGTCTGGTAACTTCTGGCGACCCCTAGTGGGGCTAGGGCGTTTCAGAGAGGTGGCTTGATAACCTGCCTCTGCGTCCCAGCTCTGGTATTCCTTGGAGGTTGCTCTTCCAAGTACTTGCTAGGGTCAGCCCTGCTTAGCTTCCAAGATCTGACGAGATTGGGCTTGCCAGGCTGATCGGGTCAGTGTATCCCTTTGCTACCTCAGTGTCCAGTTTTGCTGACCACTGCGCACTACAGTCCTATCTGCAGCAGGAGTTACAGTGGCAAAGGCAGCAGAAACTCCCAGGGATCCAGCCCTTACTTTAGATAACACACCATCCTGCCCAGTTCTCACTATATGTTCACCATTCCTTTTTGACTTTGGCCCACAGACCACACGGAGAGGGCCCATATGCCGGAATATCATAGCACCGAGAGGCCGCAGCCTATGCAGGTGAGATTGAGATGCGTGTATTACATATACAGATTACACAAAGCTCTTCCTGAAGTACTTTAAACAACTGTATCCTCACCTCTGTTTTCTCAGCTCAGATTCACTCCTCACTCTACCCCACATTATCAGAGCAGGTAAGTGAATACCTTGTATTTAGGGTCCCATCCCAGAATACTGCTCTGAAACACAAAGGATTTTTTTCTTAAATCCCCCCCCCCCAAGCCTTAGGAGATAGTTTTCTTTCTGTTACAAGATGGCAACACAAGACAGGAAACTGGCGGCTAATATAAATTCAGCCAGCTTTCACAAAAAGCTCCTAATGCTCAGTATACTAGCCAGGTTTACGTAAATGGGTCTTGACTCCATAGATGAAAATATACGTATCAGATTTACAAAATAATATAATCTCGATGCTGACTTGCAAGTATTTTTGAACTTTAGGGGAGTAGCACTGTCAAAAACACCTTGTAAACTCTGGGCGAGAATCAAGCAGCCTAAAAAAATAAAATAAAACAACTTCCATCCCTACCCAGAAGGGGGTCCTTGCTTCTTATAGTGAAGAGTCTCCTGTCCTTTTAAGTGTTTTCATTTTGATGTGTGAGTCATCACTGAATGTGCACTACTGTGCTGTACACATAGCTTGCTGTATTTTCTTCCAGGTCCTATTCCATCAGGGGAGCATATCATGGCTCAGCAGCTCTCTCTAGCCTGCACTGGTGAATGTCCACCGACTCTTAAATTTTAGAGTGATGGAAAAGCCATCCATTACCAGAAGCTATATTTCCTCATCAGTCTCTCTCCCCACCCCTCCCTTTTGTACTCAGTCCTACTCTGTTGGGAGAAATCTGTATATATGGTGGACTCGGACCTCATGGTCAGTGTTCATGATGCTCACCCAGACTCTATCACAGCATATTAAGGGTGCTAAAATGATCTTGTGATAATTGCTCAGATTGTGACAAGATCCCTTTGGCAAGACAGCCAATATCTTTCATTCTGTCAATGTCAAGAAACCACTGGCGACTCAGCATAAAATGCAAATACTCCATCTATTTGATGGAGACAACTTGACCTTAGACAAAGTTGGTTCTAAGTGTAAATACCTAACATTTAAATTGCAACAGCTGCTGGAGAGGTGGTCCTATTCTATCATTTGTTGAAGGCTAATTATCAACAGAAACTTCCAAAATATTTTTATGGCTATTTATTAAGCAGTCCCCATTTCAGTCTATTTCATCTGGAACAAGCTGTGGTCTCATAACTGTTTCACAGGCTACACTCCATATTGCAGCTTTTATGTCTTTGCAGTTGGCTTAGCATTAGCTCATTTTTCCTTTTATTCTGGGAGGGATGCATATTTTGTTTTTTATTTAGCTGAATTCTGTAAAAATTCTTTGGAAAATTATTAATAAATCACAGAAAAATACAAATTAATCTTGTGCCTAATTATACCTCCATATCCCAGGCTTAATCTTAATTATTCCTCACAAGCGATTACAGCTCTGAGGCTTTCCACCATCTTCACTCCCCTCAGATCTTTTGGGAGATAATAAGCATGTATAATATTTCACTGAAGGTCTGGAACTGGAACAAAAGACTCCAGAAGGAATCAACGCTTTCCCTTTTCTGTAACTCCTCCAGTGAAGAGATGGTCTCTGTAACTTTTCTCACCTTAAGTAAACTGAAGTGGAACACTTCCTTCAGTCCATTGCATCAGCCAATTGGTATAGAATGGACACACTGAACACACTTGAAAAACAAAGAAGAGAGGAACTTAAGGGAAAACTGATTAGTCAAGAGAGAAATCAAGAGTACACGAACAAGGAAAAGGTGACATAAAACAGACAATGATGAGAAACCTCAAGCACAGATGACCAAGCAGACAGGAAAAACAACACAAGAAAACTGGAAAACGAAGAGAATGAAAAAAGACGAATGATGGATTAGGTCATGAAAGATTCACATAAACATCTTTAAGCATCACTCTGTTCAATGCTTAGTGAAAATTAAATCTCTATATTGGTCATTTTGGGGAGGGTCACATTTAAAATTCATAGAAACAGAGGTCTATAAATAAAATAATCATCACGACAAAAACCAAGCAGAGATGAATTGAAAGTAAGAGACATATATGAGTTTAGTAAATCTCAATTTCTCCAATTCGCTCCCTCTGTTAAGGGGCCTTGGATTGTAAAACCAAACGCAAAGTATTCATAATTAACACACAGACTGTATCTCTTGGGCTCCTGCCTCACTCAGCCTAACCAAAAATATTTAGTATATGGGTTTAGTACCCTCCCTGATATTATTTATAAAGATGACATTGCTCAAGACCTGAAAACAGATATACAATGATATGGGTATCTGGAAAGAAGCTGTGTCACTGTGACACTGTGACACATACAGCTGTGACACTGAAAGGTTATACAATGATATGGGTATCTGGAAAGAAGGTACTTAAGTCGAAGACCATACAGCTGTGACACTGAAAGGCGTATCTAGCTTCTTGAAAGAATTAGCAGGAAGAAGGGAGACAAAGCAGAAATTAAGAGAGGTCAATGGTAAGAGGGAGAAATCCCTAGATTTGAATGCTATTCTTATCATTAAGAAGGGGGTAGTGCCGTCTTTACAATTCAAGAACAGAAGAAAAGAACAACAGGATTCTACAGCAGGGATAGGCAACCTCAAACCTGTATGTTGGACAGCCATTTTGCTCCAAGCCCAGGGCCAGATCTCTGCCTAAGCAACAAGGGAACCCCATGAGAATTTCACAGCACAACTGGGCCCTGGAAGAAGGTGAGAGGTGTGGCTTATGCTGTCATCACCTGGACCGGTGCAGGTGCCAGCCACATGAAAGGCAAGCTCCTGAGACACTAGCAATGTCACTGGGGCTTAGCCTGCTCCCAACATGGTTTGTCAAGTATGAACCTCATCTCCTGCCCTCCCTTTTCGTTTGCCAACACACCAACATTACAGGTACATGTTGGTTTTTGCCCAGCACTTGGGCCAAAAGATTGCCTATTTATGTTCCATAGGCAGAAAAAGATATGGAATCTACAAGTGCAATGAACAGAAAAGTAGTCTAAAGAAAGCTAGTTATCTTTCCAGATTCTAGAAAACTACTGAAGGGATTTGTACTACAGATCCTGAATCATGAGACAGTGTTGGAACTCCCTTTTCCAACACTGTTTTGTGAGCAGATCTGAGTGGAAAGGAAAGGACATTTTTTTTACTGAATATCTAGAGCTTAAAAGGAAGACACAAGATTCCAGAGCATTCAAAGGGCCCAGTTTTATATTTTGGAGCAGGGGCAAATGGCAAGAACCTGATAGGGTGAGACCTAGGTCTAAACAGCTTCTCCCCTCCCTCAAAGCCATCCCAGAAACCCATAATCTCTAATGTCCTATATAGTCCATTCCTCATCGTCATCATCTTCCTCTATTTCTTCTTCTTCTTCATAGTCTTCATCTTCCTCTTTTAACATAGCCGCTCTCACTTCCTCATCTTCCTCCTCCTCCAAACATACCTCCACTTCATATGGTTCTGGCGAATGGGAGCGACCCGATTCCTGACAAAGCAGTGGCAAGTCATTATCCTGCAGTTGGGGATGGGCTGCCCAGTACCGCTCCAACAGTCTTGTGTCCGGATGACTAGGCTGGAGCGGCTGAGGAGGCAATGAGATGGCAGGCTCCGAACTCTGTCCCGCATTGTCCCTAAACCATTTCAGTTGACCATGTTTGAGGGCATAGCGCGTGTCTCCAAACCACTGGATGATCTCGGCCCGTGGCAGCCCAGTGACCAGCTCCAGGTGGTCATAATCCTCCCGCCTGGCCCACTGGCAATGCAGAAAGAACGATTTTAATGCGTCCAACTGTTCCTTTGTCTTTCGCCTAGGTTTGCGCAAAGCATCCGAAAGGCAGCCTGAAACTTGCTGCTGGTCATGACAGTTTTGTGGATTGCATGATTCAACAGAAGTGGCTGTGGATGATGACAAGGAAGCTTTGATAGAAGAGCATGCTGGAGGAATCACTGGGTGATGTTTGCCATTCACAGCTGATGCGACGATCGGTTCAGACGGCTGTGGAGAGGCTTTTGTGACGTCCAAGGCCATTGTGAGAGCGTTCTGGAATTTGTAATCCCAGCTGGTGGTTGTGGTGGGTAGGTAAGCACTGGAAAGGATCTCTTTGGTATTATGATGAAAAGCAGATTCACAGTTCTCCTGAGCTTTGCTAGGGTGTGACAAGCCATTTCCCTTCCGTTCCCAGATGTTCTGACTGATTCTCCCAAGTTCCCTCGTTCCCTGGGCTGTGCTGCAATGGCTTGAGGATGTGACATCACAGTGCTGGTTCTCCTCATATTTAATAGGGTGGTACAGAGGGGCAGGTACCGGATGGTGGTATTCCTGGTTCTTATAAGACTGATGACAGGAGTCGCCATTGCTCCCAGCAAGCAGGCAGCTGAAGTGAAGCTGGTCCTGATGGTAAATGAGGCGAGCCCGAGTCTCTTCGATCTCTTCCGCACTCCAGCTGATGCCACAGCGTAGCCGCTGGGCCATGAACCAGGCCTTGACCTTCTCCATGTGCAGCCCGTGACGCAAGCAGAGCAAGGCCAGGTCAGAAAGGCTGGGGTACGGGAAGTAGCTGAAAGTCTGCAGCAGGTGCTGGTTACCATCGAGTTCACTTGTCTGCGCTGCTTGGGTCCAGACCAGCTGGAGGTCTTCAGAGATAGGCGGCAAGCAGATCAGACTTGGAGGAGAGCCCAGGCAACCCGGGGTGTCCTTATTCGGGGGCATGGCTACCAAGGTCCAGAAGGGGTCTTTTGTCTCTGGGAACTGGCTTCAGATGCTCAGAACAGCTGAAAGAGAAATGACAAAATTGATAGGAAAATGTGGATGGTGTGGGTGCAGTGGAGGACAGACGAGATAGCAGGGCAACAAGGGGGATGGAAATAGCAACAGAGGACACGGGGAAAGTAATGGTTTCATTTAGAGGGAAATAAACATATCTGGTGTCTCCGTCACTGAAGTGGTTAGCCTGCAGTCAGGACCAATGTTCCCTCTAAGCTGTGGAGTGTGGTGAGCAAAACTTCTACTTTGTGAGCTACTGGCATTCAAGTTTTGAGCGAGCGATTTGGCTACTGCATAAACTAGTTTGCTCTGGAGCCCTCCTTCCTGAGCTGAGACAGAAATCTGTGAACCGGAGGCTAAAAAACTGTGAGCTAGCTCATGCTAACTCAGCTTAGAGGGAACTCTGGTCAGGACTGTATCATTTCTGACTGCAGGTGGGAGCTCAGATGGTGGAATGCTCCTCTGTAGGAAAAAATAACCTTTTGTCAAAGAAAACCAAGTGGCAGAGAGCATTTAGCTACGTGAGCCCTCATCCTCAGCCCGATATGGTATAGCTCCATCACAGATTTACCACCTCTGTGAGAACTTGGCATCACTGGTGGCCCACTGGTTTTTGAAAGATTTTCTTCCATTCTCCAGTTTGGATGATATCTGCCATTCTTCAGGACCATCTAAGATTACCACAACAGGAACGGGCTTCAGGGCAACAGGGTTACTTGAGCATGGGGTCCCCAAATCCTTCTCTTGAAAGGACACAGTAATTCTCCTAAAACAGCAGTCACTTTATTTAGTTCTGTTGGCTACTTTGGGAGAAAAACAGAGGGTGACGCTTGCCTTCTTCTTTTTTCAATATGTGGCTTGGTTCAATTTTGGTCATTCTAAACATGATGCTTCCAAGTTCCCTCCTGCTCTCTGTTTGTGGCAAAATGAAGTAATCTCGATGTTGTGGGTTATTGTGAACAGTGACATGTAGAGGTTCCTGGTTTTTGGTAGGAAGGTTGGGCATCACTACCTTCAGGTTCATTCTAGCCCTGAACTGATACGATAAAGGAGAGCCTTCACCAGGAGAGTTCTTCACAAGCTCTTATTTTAGATACAAACCTTTGTTTGCGACAACCCACAGTTATGCCATTATCACAGAATACCAGAGATTTCTCCTCCACTCCCAAATTTTCCTACCCATCCACAAAGATCCAATTTACCTGCTGACTGGTCCACAAACATTCTCCCAGTACCACCCTTCTTCTTCCACTTCTGAGGCACTACTACACAAAAGACAGCTAAGCTAGGAAGGAAAGAGGGAACACTGCCTCAAAATAAGCGATTATCAGGTATGAAAAGTGTCAACAGATCAAACCTAATCTAATAAAGCAAGCAATATGTCTACAGTTTTTTCTGTTCTCAGTGAATTGGCAAAAGTAGGCCTTCTTGACTGCCAAAGCTTTTAACTTGTAGCAAATCACAGGGAAACATTTTAGATACACAGAAAGTTGTTTTTACCTGGCATAAGGGGACCTCCGATCCAAAAGAAGTATCCTCACAGCCTTTTAAGGGTGGATGCTTACAGAAACATTGGAGATGGTGCTGAGCAGAGTGTTACAATCCAGGATTCCCGGCACCCTGGTCTCTTCCTGCAAGAGTTCAGTGCAAAAGACAATACATGGTACTGAGGTACCCTTTGCAAAATCACATGGACAAGGTTGTAAAATCATGTTCTTGTGTTCAATGTGTGTATAAGAGGGCCAGAAGGAATCTCTACAAAGCTTCAACTAGAAATAAATATTTTACAGATCTGTGGCACAGTAAACGTTGCATGGATCACTGTCTTGAAATCTGTGGCACAGTAAACGTTGCATGGATCGCTGTCTTGAAGTGGCAAGTGGACTTGCGTAGTTCAATGAGCCTGTGGGCTATGCCATGGACAGCCACAAAGGACGGCCAGGCCACAGCAGAGAACTCAGACAAAACACAATCCACTGAAGAAGGAAATGGCAACCCACTCCAGTATCTTTGCCAAGAAAACCCCATGGACAGTAACAAAAGGCTAAAAAATATGACAACAGAAGATAAGCCCCTCAGGTTGGAAGGTGTCCAAGATGCTACTGGGGAAGAGCAGAGGGCAAGTACAAGTAACCCCAGAAACAATGAAGCGGCTGGGCCAAAGCCGAAAGGATGCTCAGCTGTGGATGTGTCTGATGGTGAAAGGAAAGTCCGATGCTGCAAAGAACAGTATTGCATAGGAACCTGGAATGTAAGATCTATGAATCAAGGTAGGGACCTAACAGAAGCAGAAGAGATTAGGAAGAGGTGACAATAATACACAGAAGAACTATACAAGAAGGATCTCAATGTCCTTGACAACCACAATGGTGTGATCGCTGACCTCGAGCCAGACATCCTGGAGTGCGAAGTCAAATGGGCCTTAGAAAGCATTACTAACAACAAAGTTATGGAGATGACGGTATCCCAGCTGAGCTATTCAAAGTCCTAAAAGATGATGCTGTTAAGGTGCTGCACTCCATATGCCAGAAAATATGGAAAACGCAACAGTGGCCACAGGATTGGAAAAGATCAGTTTACATTCCAATCCTAAAGGAGGGCAATGCCAAGGAATGTTCAAGCTATCACATAATTGCACTCATTTCACATGCTAGCAAGATCATGCTCAAGATCCTACAAGCTAGGCTTCAGCAGTACATGGATAGAGAACTACCAGAAGTACAAGCTGGGTTCCGTAGAGGAACTAGAGAACAAGTTGCCAACATTCACTGGATTATGGAGAAAGCAAGGGAGTATCAGAAAAACATCTACTTCTGCTTCATTGACTACACTAAACCTTTGATTGTGTGGATCACAACAAGCTGAGGCAAGTCTTTAAAGAGATGGGAGTACCAGACCACCTCACATGTCTCCTGAGAAACCTGTATAAGGGAAAAGGAGTACAAGGATATATATTGTCACCCTGTTTGTTTAATTTATACACAGAGTACATCATGTGAAATGCCAGCCTGGATGAATCACAAACCAGAATTAAGACTGCCGGGAAAAAACATCAACAACCTCAGATATGCAGACAATACCGCTCTAATGGCAGAAAGTGAAGAGGACCTCTTGCTCAGGGTGAAAGTGAAGAGTGCAAAAGTTGGCTTGAAACTCAACATCAAAAAAACTAAGACCATGGCATATGAATCCACCACTCCTTGGCAAATAGAAAGGGAAGTCATGGAAGCAGTGACAGAAGTCACGTTCCTGGGATCCAAGATCACTGCAGATGGTGACTGCAGCCATGAAATTAAAAGATGCCTGCTCCTTGGGAGGAAAGCTATGGCAAACCTTGACAGCTTAATAAAAAGGAGAGACATCACCCTGCCAACAAAAGTCTGTATGGTCAAAGCGGTGGTATTCCCAGTAGTCATGTATGGCTGTGAGAGTTGGACCATAAGGAAGGCCGAGCGCCGAAGAATAGATGCATTTGAATTATGCTGCTGGAAAAGACTCTTCAGAGTCCCTTGGACTGCAAGGAGATCAAATCAGTCAGTCCTAAAAGAAATCAACCCTGACTGTTCCCTGGAAGGCCAGATACTGAAGCTGAAGTTTAAATACTTTGGCCACCAAATGAGAAGGGAGCACTCACTGGAGAAGATCCTGATGCTGGGAAAGACTGAAGGTCAAAGAAGAAGGGGACAGCAAAGGATGAGATGTTATTGATGCAATGAGCGCTGGGCAGGCTCCGGAGGGTGGCAGAGGATGGGAGGGCCTGGTGTGATATGGTACATGGGGTCACGAACAGTCGGACTCGACTGTGCAACTGAACAACAACAACAACAATCATTGCATATGCATTCAGTTCCACAGTGTGTTTCAAAACTGTGCTCTAGTACAGATCAAGTTTTCCTTTCACGCATTCCCTAAATCACAATCCATTTATTCCCTTGCATTTCTCTGAGCCTTTAAGCTCAAAAACGCTTTCAGGAACAGGCCAACTGGAAATCCTCTTTAAAAAATACAATTGCTTACATACCTCCAGAACTTGAAACTTGGACAGTCCATAAATCTAACCAAATAAAATTTAGCACCAACATGCTGTGCTAATCGGCCAAACCAAATGGTCAATTTTGCTGTCTCTTAGTCCTGGAAACCAGCTGGCCCTTAATTAAAAGAGATAACTATAGCAATTGCAAAGCAATTAATGTCAACAGAGGAGACTTCAGACAATTAGGCGTTTAAATAAACAGCAGCGCTAGTGGGGGAAGCCATTCCGTCCTAGCTCCATAAAAGCAAAACTGAAGCTTCCGTGTAAAAGTTTAAGATGCAACCGGATCAGCCCGATGGTACTTGCCGCACAGGAACTGAGATCTTGCAAGGGGGAAAGGTCTTTGGGAAACAAACAGACCTATATAATGCATGCATCCCCCAAATGCATTATACTGTTCAACTTCATCCCTCGAAATTTCTAGTTTCTTTCTTAATTTCTTAAACGCCACCATTTCCCCCAGCACCGACTTCCCCATCTGAAACCCACTTGCACCCCCAGATCCCCCACGCACATACTCACTTCCATCCCCCTTCTCTCTCGCTCCGCTAGATAGTCTCCTCCTCCACTTTAGGACTTTCCTTCCTTCTTTCTCCCCCTTACTCCCTGCAATGCACGCTGGGAAACGTTGGGGGGGGAGAAGGCGGAGTTTCTCCGTGCTTGGAAAGCTGGCCCTTTAAGAGGAGGCAAATGCCTGGGTCCGCCGGGCTAACTTTTGCACCCCTTTTGTAGCTTCTCTGACCGAGTGGCTCCTTTGTCTTTCCAAAGTCTCCTCTCTCCCGCCACCTGCTCTTATTGAGCTGCCCAACGATTTTTAGGGGACTATCCTAAAAATACAGGATGAATCACAACTTGGAACAGTGGACTTTTTCGCAAGCCCGAGGAGGAATCTTTCCCGATTCTGCTCCGCTTCCCATGCGCCTTATTGGTTCACACGCATCCCAAAGACAGCAGGCCCTTTCCGGCGGGTAAAAGGGGACCCCCGTCTCCCTTGCTCCAGCAGAAAGATTGGTAGGAGTCCAGCCGTTCTTTATTAATCCAGGCTACAGTATTCAAACGATGTCTCCATCGGAGGAATCAATTAATTGCCAGCGTCCTGATCCATTAAAACCGCGTTGCCGATAAGTAGATTTTTGCAACCCTGACCACCACAGGGAGCTTTGGCGCAGCCTACCTCACAGGGCTGTCGTGAGAAACAAAGCCCCATTTGCAAAGGCAAGCGATTAATCGTTCTTAGTCGTTCAGTGGCCAGAGGGTTTGTTTTGGCTCGAGGTACCGCCCAGAGGGCAAGTCCCTCTTCTGCCACCGGTCACTTCTCTCAGCCCTGTCAAGGCTGAACAGCAGGTTCAGGGCTATGGAAGCCTGAAGGGCTCGTGGCATTGTGGCCTACCTCACAGGACAGTCGTGGGGGCAAACAGAGGCGAGGATGCCTGGTTTTTGCACTTGAAACAGTTTCCACTGGAGAAAAGAGCAAGAATCCCAGGAGCAGCGTAAAGACTAACAACATTTGTGGCAGGGGAGGAGCTTCCGTAAGTCCCAGTAACTCACGAAAGCTCCTCCCCTGCCACAAATGATGTTAGTCTTTACGCTGCTCCTGGGATTCTTGCTCTTTCCTACTGCTACAGACCAATTGACACGGCTACCTTTCACAAGAGCCAGTTTCGTGTAGTAAATGCGCCGACTGTAGCCTGGGAAAACCAGGTTTGATTCCCCACTCTTCCACCTGCAGCTGCTGGATGACCTTGGGCAAGCCATAGTTCTGTCAGAGCTGTTCCCTCAATCCTTCCTCCCTCACAGGGTGTCTGTTGTGGGGTGAGGAGGAGAGGGGAAGGGGTTTGTAAACCGCTCTGAGACTCCGAGTGAAGGGCGGAGTATAAATCCAATCTCTTCTTCTTCATCATCATCGATTTCCTTGTGGTAGAAATGCAGCACGCCTCCACTTTCCCGCTGTTCACATCACTCCAGTAGCTCCTTTGCACCCCCATACGGTTCCCCCAGACAAGTGTCCCGCTTCCCCGCCCCAGTAGTTCCTTCAGGGGTGCCTCCCCTGCCTCGGACCGGCTTCCCCAGGCCCTGGGCCAGACAAGCTCCTAGTCCTCTTGATCCACCTCGCGACTGCAGACGCCGTCACGCTCCCTCTGCCCAGCCTCAGAGACCCTGATTCTCCACCGTCTACCACCCGGTCTCCACCGCTATTCCCTCCTCCTCCCCTCCTCCTCCTCCACAAATGACTGACCCACCTCCGCCCCCCACCCCACTATCGCAACGCTCCCCCCACGAAGGAAGGAGCCGCAAAGCAGAGAGGTGGTTTGCAAGGCGGAAGAGGCGCATTGTCTCCTCCGCGCCCCTTTGTGTGCCGAGCGGGGAGCCGCGCACGTGGGAAGACTCAGCCGAATGAGCCGAACTTGCTTTCGGGGAGGGGGGGGGCGGTATTAAAAAGAGGAGGAGGCGGAGGAGGAGACCCTACGGCGGCCCAGTCCCCCAAAAAAGGGAAGGGAGGGCGAGGGGAGGACCCAAAAACTCCCGCGATGGCTGCGGAGCGCCTGGGGAAGGGGAGGCCGAGAGGGGAGCGAGCGCCCGAGGAAAGCCCGGCCCGCCACCCAGGGCTGCTTACCCGCTGGGCTCCCGTCTCCGCGGTTTGCAAGCCTGCCCATTCGGCTCCCCAGCTGGGGGTGGCGGGGCCCCAGTTGACTGGCACTACCGTAGGCCACGGCCCTGCCATTGGCTGGAGGAGGCGGGCGGGGGAAGGAATAGCTGGAGGCTCGGGCGCCTGGGTCCCTGCGAGGCAGCCGGACGCCTGGGTCCACCGCCTTTACCTGGAAGCCCGGTTGGGCGGCGGCCGTGTGCTCTGCACATGCTTAGAGGCACCCTCGGCTAGCCTTGTTGCCACCCGCATTCCAGAACGTTGCGGGCTGGTCCTGCCCCGGGTTTGCGGAGGGAGCTGGGTGCCATCGCGGCGAGGCGGGGAGGGACTAACGGGAACCCCCGGTTGGACTGACATCTTGTTTGTTCTGGGTGTATATTCGAACCGGGGACTTCTTGCCCCGTAAATGCAGCGGCTCTGATTCGTGGATGAAAAGGGGGCGGAGCCTCTGCTCATGTCCAAGGTGTGCTTCCTACTCTCTGACTAGGAAACTTTCTGCACATGCTTAGGGATGCTCTGTTGAAATTATTACTTTTCTTCCCCATGCCTTTAAAAGGGACTGGGGTGTTCTGCATCCGGTGGCAAGTGGCCAAACATACCAGGTGCCATCAGGAGGTCCACCAGTGGGGCCAGGACACCAGAAGCCCTCCCACTGTTGCCCCCCCCCCAAGCACCAAGAGCACAGAGCATCACTCGCCCAAGACAGAGTTCCTACCTATACCTTGTGGCTGATAGCCACGGATGGACCTCTGCTCCATATGGTTATCTAATTCCCTCTTGAAGCCATCCATGCTTGTAGCTGCCACCACCTCCTGTGGCAGTGAATTCCATGTGTTAATCACTCTTTGGGTGAAGGACTTCCTTTTATCCGTTCTAATCCGACTGCTCAGCAATTTCATGGCATGCCCACGAGTTCTTGTATTGTGTGTGTGAGAGAAAAGTACTTCTTTCTCGACCTGCTCTATCTCACGCGTAATCTTGTAAACCTCAATTGTGTCACCCCTCAGCCATCCTTTCTCCAAGGTGAAGAGCCCTAAGCGCTTTAACCTTTCTTCATAGGGAGAAAGACCGACTTTGGTAGCCCGAGGGTCTGATTCAGCAGAAGGCAGCGTCATGTGTTCATATGAACAGGGCCCTTCCTGAGATATGGCTGTGAGCTCATTTGGGGGGCTTGATGAACTAGCTGCCCCCCCCTTCAGAGCTGCAGATACTAACCTGCTGGGCCCAGAGCACCTCTTGTGGGTCGGTCACAAGTGATCCCAATTTCAGATAAATCTGTTGTGGCCACAAATAAAAATCCCGGGACACATGAACAGGTATTTATTCTACTAAGGGCTCACGTGTGTGTGTGTGTGTGCGCGTGCCTCCAAAACAATGCCTTGATGGGCTTTCAGGAGAGTAAACAGTGAGGTGGGAGAAGTTTGATGGGACTTCCTGAGGTGTACCAAAGGTGTAAATGTCTCTTGATGTCCCCGTGATTACTGGTTTTAAGAGTAAAGAATTGCTAAACTGGGGTACATAGGTCAGGGGGAAGTGGGGCTGGTGTTGACAGGATTGGTCAGGGGAAACCTATTGTCCTTAGTGGTGCATCTCCATAGGGTGGCCACCTTTGGCTTCAGTTTGGTGCAGTGATTAAGAGCAGCGAACTCTAATCTGGAGAGCCGGGTTTGATTCCCCACTCCTCCACATGCAGCCAGCTGGGTGACCTTGGGTCAGTCACAGTTCTCTCAGAGCTGTTCTCAGCCCCACCAACCTCACAGGACATCTGTTGTGGGGAGGAGATTGTAAGCCGCTCTGAGACTCCGAGGGAAGGGCAGGGTATGAATCCAATCTCTTCTTTACCTTCAAAATTTTTCCCAGGCTTGGCTTCTAGCTTTTCTCTGGCAGAGATTTTGTGTATCACTCTGGGCCAGACAGTGTTTCATAATTGTGATTTTTGAGGTGATATCTGTATGAAGGGGGTTTACTTCTTTCTCTACATGCGCTAAACTGCTCCTGGGGGAGCAGGGGTCTGACTGCTAACAGTGCGTTTGACCAAGAAGACAGTTTCAAGGGAATAGCCATGTCAGTCTGCAGTTGGACAGCTAGATTTGAATCCAGAGCTTTGACTTTTGAAAGCTCATACCCTGGAACCTTGTTGTTATCTAAGGTGCTACTATCTAGCACATCTGACCAAGTGGTCCAGGACAAGCTTATGCTAGAAGGCAAATGTGTCTGTCTTTAATAAGCCACGTCTATAATGAGTCACAAGATTCAAAGTTATTCTAAAGCATCCTTATCTTCCCCAATACACGTCTGTAGTACTTCAGGAAGGCTTGGTATACAACAGTCATTTTCTTCTACCCCAGTCCAAAACTCCTTTCCCCAAATAAGTAAAAAGATTTTATTCATATTATTACTACAGGGGTAAAAACCCCAATCACTACAAAGGTTGTATGCGGGTCCCAAACAATGGATCTGGGGAGATAAGAGAAGCGGAGGGAATGTTGGCCAGTTAGCTACAGGTGGCTGCAAAAGGACAACTCTTTGCAAGAGGCGGCGCTGTTGATGGAAGGGTAGCCACACAAAGAGCTTGTGAGGACCCTTCTAGATCGGTGCAGGGAAAAGAGATGATGGGATGCCTTTGGAACTAGTAAAAAGTCCAGTAGCACTTTTAAGATTAGCAAATTTTATTGTAGCGTAAGCTTTTGAGAAACACAGCTCTCTTCGTCAGATGCATGCATCTGACGAAGACAGCTGTGTTTCTCAAAAGCTTACGCTACAATAAAGTTTGTTAGTCTTAAAGGTGCTACTGGGCTTTTTACTATTTTGCAGCAACAGACTAACACAGCTCACTCCTCTGGATCTGTGATCTGGGACCAAAGGGATCAACGAAGGCCATTTCAGTTTAAAAGGAAGGGAGCACAGAGAGAAGAGACAAATGGGAAACGGTGCGCACGGGCAGGGGGCGCGTGGTGGGGAGAGGGATCCAGAGCTCATTCCCGGCAGTTGGAGCACTGTGCTTGCGCTCCCCCGTAGCCCCGGCAGTCGGGTCCCAAGCACTGGCAGCAGGCGTTGTGGAACCAGCGGTAGCGCCAGGCCCCGACCGACTGGCAGGCCGCGCGACATCGGCTCATGGAGAGGCACTCGTTGAAGAAGATCGCCTGGCAGGGGGGTGCCGTCGCATTGAGGCCCTCGGTATCCGGGGAGGCCAGGCCTGCAAAAGAAATCAGGACCGGGGGGGGGGGGGGGCT